GCGGCAGCGGGGGCTTCCGCGGGGACCCACAACCGGGTTGTGCCGCGGCCGGGAGCCGCCGCGTTCCCGGGAGCCGTCCCGTTCCCGGCTGTGTCCCCACGGGAACGCAGAGCGGGTCTCACCGCCTTTCCCTCCTTCCACAGGGAGGCAGCACCGAGGTGGCCGCGGATCCGCTTGCCCTGCTCCCAATCCGCTTGCCCTGCTCCCTGGCAGCTGCAGGACCCAGGGACGCGTTTGCTGCGGTGCCCCAGGACATCCAGAACCTGCTGCAGCCCCCTGGGAGCCGGGCTTGGACCTCGCCTGGTGTCTCAAGTGTTTGAGCTGGGCGGGTTCTGCCCCTGCTCCCCACTGAGCTCCTGAGAACGTCGCAGGTTCCTGGCATTGACTTTCTGGGCCTCTTGGCCCTTCCTTGGGGAGCATTTCACGGACTTGCTGGGCAGATTTCCGGACCCTTTTCCTCTCTTGAGCTCCCGTCAGTCGCTCATGGAGCTCCCGGGACGAGGTTCCTCCCTGTGGACTCCATCGCAGCCTCTCCCTTGCCATAGGGTGACCCTGCACAGGGGACGGAAACCGGGTGCAGGTTGTCCTGCTGTGATCCAGGGCGTCCGATCCCCATCTGCCCCATCCCGACCCTCAGCACTGGCAGCTCCTGGACGTTTGCTGCCCCAGGGCCTTCCACGCGCACCCCTCGCCGTTCCCGAATGCCTTGTCCCTCCCTCCCTTACAGGTAGCTGCGGTCTGGCACATCCCACCGCGTGACGGGACGGGTGGATGTGGGAGCGGACAGCTCACCTGGTGCTCACTGCCTGAATTCCAGAGCGCGGGAAGCAGCGGGGCAGACGCGGAGCGACCGACCCGCAACGCGCCGCAGGCCTCCCGCATCCCGAGGTATTTAATCCCTTTCCTCCTTTTCTCATCCCGGCGGCAGCGGATGGGGTTTGCAGGGCGCTAATGCCGCACACGTGTTGCATGCACCGGCGCGGAGCGTCGCTCCGCAGGGAAGCAGGAGGCTGCGGGCCGTGCCGGGCGCCGCTCCGGTGGGTCCTGCAGCTGCATGTGACACACACGGTCCCTGCGGCGCCCCGCCGGGCGCTGCGATCCCTCCTGCGCCGCCGCGGCCCATTCGGCCCGGCCATGCGGTGCCGGGGACAGGAGGCTCCTCCTGCAGGGCCGCGCATGGCCGTGCTGCTGCCTGCGGTTTCGCTGCTGTACCGCGGGGTCCGCGTTGCTGCTGCAGCCGGGGGCGTCCGCGCGGGGAGCCCAGCGGCCCCCGCAGCCGGCGCTGCGCTGGGGGCTGCGGGTCTGGATCAGGACTTTGCTGGCAGAGGCGCGTGGATCGGCGCGGTGACGCCCGGAGCACGTTGCTTTCCTGGCTCCTGATGGTCCCTGCAGCAGCAGGATCCGTCGCCAAAGGCAGCTCCCTGCAGCCGCAGTGGTGGGAGCCGGGCGCAGGCGCGAGGGCTCCGGGGGCCGCTGGGGTGATGGGGGCCGGAGCAGCCGCGGGGCTGGGCAGGACCCTGTTCCCTGGTTGCAGAGCGGGAGGAGGGAATGGAGCCGGGAAAGGCGGGATGCTCCCGCCAAGAGCAGCAGGGAGGGCGCTGGGCACATGCGGGAGGTGCCGGGCTGGGGACAGGGGCTGATCTCTGTCTGTGACGAGTCTTCGTGCTTTGTCCCCAGGGCTGATGGTGGGGATGCAGCCGGAGCGTTGCAGGCGGGTCACGAGATGCCTGTGCCCGGCACTGGTGGTGGCCATGGGCATAGTCCTCATTCTGGCTGTTGTCTCGGGTGTGCTGATAGGTAAGGGAAGGCTACGGCCATCGACGAGGAGCTGCGCGTGGGGCTGTCCCTGTGCAGGGGCCGGGAGAGCGGAGCAGGGAGCCGGCGGCTCCGCAGGGATCCACAGCCGGGTTGTCCCGTTCCCGGGAGCCGCCCCGTTCCCGGCTATGTCCCCATGGGGACGCAGAGCCGGGTCTCACTGCCTTTCCCTCCTTCCACAGGGAGGCAGCTCTGTGATCGCTACCGAAAGGGTGATGCCGCCCTGGGCTGCCGCGACGGCTGGATCGGCCACCGTGGGATGTGCTACGACCTGCCGCTGGAGGAGAGCAGCTGGGAGCAGGGCCAGCGCGGCTGGGAGCAGAGCCTGCACAGGCTGCACGAGCCTGGCCGCGCTCGAGCAGCCCTCGGAGCTGGTGAGGACACCACGAGCACCGCGAGCCCTCGGCCCCACACGCTTTTCCTTCGGGAGCCTTCGGGGTTGGGCTCCGGCAGCAGCGTGTGACCATTTCCCTGCTTTCCCCCCTCTCCCTCAGCATTTCCTCCGTGGCTTCAGGAACCTCCCGGACAGCTGGGTCGGGCTGCGGCGCCGTGACGGGCGCCTGCGTTGGGTGGACGGCACCATCCACAACGACACGTGAGTCACGTCCAGCCCCGTTTCCCAGCTCCTGACAGTGCCCGTGCGGATGGGGACAACCCAGTGTCCCCTTCCCTTCCCTTTCTGTCTCATCCCTTCCCTTTCCTCCCCTTCTGCAGCAGTTTCACGGTTCAGGGCGAGGGTGAGTGCATCTACATGAGCACCAAGGACTTTGCCAGCTCCAGCTGCTCCCTGCCCAGACCCTTCATCTGCAGCGCGCCGCAGGCTCCGTGAGCCCAGCAGCTCCATGAGCGTCTCCGCGCTCCATGAGCCTCTCCACGCTGCTTATCCCGGAGCTTCCCACCACCTCCGCTGCAGCAGACGGGTTTGTTCTTTTCATCTGGAATTGCCGCGGCAACTCTCCTACCTCCCTGGCTATCGCTGCAGAAGTGCAGAGAAGCCCTCGATGCAAATGGAGCCAGAACACTCTGCGTGGCCATCCACGGTGTAACTGCACAGGACGCTCCAATGTGCAGGAGGCCAAGGAGACAACGTTGGGTGCTGCCTTGTTTTTAACCTCAAAGAACTCTCCCGTTCTTCTACTTTCTGCACTTTATCCCTAGAAACATTTCCACTCCACACCTTTGCTGCTGTGCTGCCATCTTCCCAATGCGCATCCCTCCCCTACAGCACATGTGAATAAACCTTAGTGCCTTAAATAATCTCAATTTTACCCCTTAATAAACAATTTTCGCAGACTCTTAATGTGCTCCTGATGCAAGGAGAACTCCGGGGGCTCCCGGGTTGTCTCCCTGTTTATGGGATTAGGTGATTAACTTAGAGCCATTCTTCCATTTCAGAGGACTGTTGGCTGCTCTGGGCACAATCAGCCTTATCTCCTCGTCAGGATGCAGCCATCAGGGCTGCTGTTGATGGTTAATGTCTGAGTAGGGGAAGAAATCAGGGAGGCAGCCACCAGGGTCGGATAATGTCACTGGTGGGTGACACCTGAACAGGGCTATGTGTGAAAAGCTGGGCAAGGAGCACCCCTGTCACCCTCATGTCCCCGTCCCCATTCCCAGACTCCTGTTTTTTGCTCCATCACCACCTGGGAGATCCGGGCCGTGTCCCCATGGTGTCCTGTGCGGCAGGACCGTGCCAGGCAGTGCTGCGGGTTGGTGCATCACGTTTTATCCTTGGTGCACCGTGGAGAGCCGGGGCAGGGAATCCGGCAGTGCCATGTGGAGGAGGGCGGCCCTGCAGGAGGCTGTGCAGGGAAGAGTGGGCGGCCGGTGCCGTTTGCCTCGTGCAGGCGCAAGGAGCCTCTCTTTTCCCTGGAAAGGGCTTTACCTTCACCTTTGCTCCCATCAGGGCTGCCGGAGCGGAGCAGAGACCCCCGGTATCAGCACAGGGCCCATCGGCCATTTCACCCCGGAGGCTCCGTGTCACCTCCCAGAGGCAGCTCCTGCTCCTGGGAGCGGAGCTCGGTGCCACCTGCCCTGCCCGGAGCAGCAGGTTGGGACAAAACCGGCCTGGGACAAAACCGGCGTCCTCTGTCCCTCTGAGCACGACGAGGGACCGAAGCGGCTCCTCCTCTCCGAAGCCGCCACCGCAAGCGGTTCCACAAGACCACGTAGGGAGAGGAATTGTAAAAGCGGGAGCTGCCCTCCCTGTGCGGAGCCCTTGGCTCAGGAGCACCCGCCGGAGACGGCCCCGGCGGCGCCTCCTCCCAAAGGGAGCGATTTGCAGCGGAAACTCCCACCTGGAAGGCCCTGGAAAACACGCTGAAAGCCTCGCGTCAGTGCAGGAGACCCCAGGGACACTGGAGACGCGGAGGTTTTCCAGGCTTAGTTAATTTAATTAATACATATCAGAAGTACCTGCATTTCCACACGCACAGTGGTTAAGAGGAACAACCGGAAAGACAGGACGGACACAGATTTGCACAGGGCTTCGCGCTTTGCCGGGCACAAGGGCTCAGCGGACGCTCCCGGCCTCGCCGAATCCAGCGCTCCGGCCCCCGCTGCTGCCTGGGCGAGGAGCCCCCCGGAGCCCCCCATGCGCTGGGCCCAGCCGGGGCAGCCCCCGCGGCTCCATCCGCAGCAAAAGTCTGGGAAAACCCCTGGCTTCGGGGCTGCATTTGGGCTGCTGGAGGCTCCTCCTGCCCGCGGGCGGCTCTGCTGCTGCGCAGCTCCCCGGGCTGGCCGCACTGTGCACGCGTTCGAAGACGCCCGGAGCCAGGGAGACCCTTCCCATGCGCTGGCGCCGCCGGGGGCTGAGGAGGAGCTGGGGATGCTCCCCTTCCCCAAGGCTTCGTGTCTAGACGCGCGGAGCTCGCAGCCCTGCGGACCGGGCTCAGACCCTCTCGGGATGCATCCAGCAGCTTCCACGGGGAGCAGGGAGGATGGAACTGGGATGGCTGGGAGAGCTGGAGGGAATCCTGCTGCTTGCAGGGGCCAGGGTGCTGCCTCCGGAGGCCGGTCCCTGCGGAGGCTCCCGGCCCCGCGCGAGGCCTCAAGGCTGCAGGAGGGAAGCGCCGAGCGGGAGAGGTGCAGGATTGCTGCAGGGCTCCAACTGCCCAGCGGCCCAAGGGGACCGCAGTGACGTCCCCATGCTCGTCGCAGCCGCGGCCCCGCTAGGGGAAGCCCCGATGTCCTGCGCGCCTC